ACTGTCTGAAGATGCGGTCATTATATTACATACACATTAAATCAAACCTACTGTGTAGTGCAGCAGTCCACAACCTTTTTTGTGTAATGGACGGTAGTGGACGGTAGTGGACGTTACTGCGAACTAGTTGTCGAATTATCATTAAAGATCATTAAATTTTCAAAATAACATTTTTTTTTAGACTGTCTGTTAGTATTGCGGTCTCACTGATTCATTTTTACTGAAGTATATATTCCATATTTTTATATATATATATATATATATATATATATATAGCCCCTTAGCTATTCTTTAGAAACAGATTATTAACACCTCAGAATGGCTCTGCGGTCCAAATTCTAAAAGGTTAATCTCCCTGCACTGCACTGAGACCCATTTAGCGAGACAGCCTTATTGAGTTCATCAATAGAGGAATCTTGAAAGTTAATGAATTTAATGACATGCATGGCAGCATTTGATAAGGAAAGTTTTATCACCCCAGCAGGCTTCAACACAATCGTCTGCCAGATACTCTGCTAAATTTATGGTAAATGCGCTACGCTAATGTGTGCCAATGGAATTCTAGTCTGTCGAGTCTTAAATGGCGAGTTTGAAGTTAATTTATGAATTTAAAAGAAGACTGCGGAATAAAAGATGTTTATAAAAGAAATGCACCCTAAAGCAGGCATGGGCAAACTAAGGCCCGCGGGCCAGATGTGGCCCATTCAGCTCTTTAATCGGGCCCACCAAACTGATTTGGAAAATGTATTTCCAAATTATATAATTTATTTATACTTCTGTCTTTTCCTTGCAATACCCAGTTTTCCCCAATAGATGGCGTAGAAAGTGATAAAAGCCTTTTAGTGTTTATGCATGACTTTTACATGTCAGTTATCTTAGTTCACACCAACGCTCCATCTATCTGCTCCTGACCCGGGGCCCCCTGTTCAATTTTAGGACAATTGTGGCCCGCGAATCAAAAAGTTTGCCCGCGCCTGCCCTGAAGGCACGACACGTATTCTTCAAGTGCACTAAATACATGAAGATTTGTTGGGGAAACCATTACGCCGCATCCAGGCTACACATCGGGCTATGACCGATTGGGTACTTTGGCAGCAGACCTGGCCCTGGCCAAGGATCCCCTCACCCATTAACATTTGCATTGATCTTCATGAGTGTCTTTACAAATGCACTTTGTCTCGTCCCTCCCTCTGGCCTTGGGTGGAGGCCGTCCACCACAATAAGTTGGTAGCTGAAAGAGGGATTTCCCTTAGATTATTACAATATACAGCTAGAGGATTTAGGTAGTTTTATACAATACCTTTCTGTGCGTGACGACACATTCTGAAGACTCGCTCTTCGGTCTGGTATCGAGGCAACAGCTAGTTCATTATTCCAACAGTGTTAAAAAAAAACGATTTGTTGTTTCAACTATTGTTCAATTCCCAGCAGCAGGACTGTGGGTTTAAGCAGCGTTATCTTGTCACACTTCCACTAATGTGCAAATGTGACAATGTGACCTTCCATATTAAGGAAATTACACATTCACCGGCTTTCTGAACCTACTCCTCCAGCACAAGTGTGTTGGCCGGCAGCGCTGTTTAAAGTGCCATTTGTGATATTCCCTATTAGTTTTTCATTAACCTGCCAATGCTGCCTGCGTTTCTCTGCTTCTCTGCTGAGCGAGCCCTCGCCTCACACGCGGACGCAAAGTTTAACTTTGGCTTTGCTCAGTTAATTATAACTTTTCTCACAGATTTCTTTGAGCTTCATGACATGTGATTGGGGGGGGGGGGTGATATGTCCCATGCCGCTGCTGATGGATGAGAACAGATGAATGTGTTGTTGTCTGTTATCTGTCTATTGTGTCAAAAGGAAGTCTTCGCAATACCTTCAGAACGCAGAACAGCAGAGACCAAAGATGAAGCATTTAAAGACATTGCCCTTTTTCTTGGATGGATGGATGATGGATGGATGGATGGATGGATGGATGGGTGTGTAGATAGATAGATGCTATAAGTCGCGCCAGCCAAAAAAGGTATAATGAAGAAGAAAAAAACATATAGAAGTCACATATAGAGTATAAGTTGCACCAGTGCCCTCTAGTGGCTGTCAGCAGTAGATAGATTAGTCGTAGTAGTACAGGCGGTGGGTGTCAAGTTTGCTGACTAAGTACTTTGCAAACATCTGACAACTGTTTTTTATATATATATATATATATATATATAAACAGTTTGTTTGAATGGTGTCCACAATTATATAGCTATAGTTATGTTTGGATGGTAGCGTCCATTTTTCCATTAATTTTACTCAGACTGCAGAAGGCGAAACCTTGCGGCAGTATGCTGTGTTTTTTTTTTTTTTTCTTGTAGGATTTTAAAAGCATTGCTGATGGATATAAACCAGCTACAGTACGGAGGAGCTAAGGGTTAGCTACAAAGAGAAGCATGATGAAAAACGTTGCAAAAACTTTTTCGTAAAAATCGTCTCCGGGGCCAAACTTTGGACAAGGCTGCCCCGGTGTTAGTACTTATTAGAAAGGAGCATAGCATTTGCAGAGTGACTAAAAAGCTGTCAGACTGACCATTCTGTAACCTTCAAAGTAAATACCAAAGACGCTGTTGTAAATGTCGTGAACTTTCAAACCAACTCTGAAGTAAATCTGCCACTCTTCAGAATCGTCCAACAATAAAATCCTTCACTGCTGAGGCCCATTTGTTATAACTTTTATCAAATAAAATAAATAAATAAATAAATAAAAATACAAAAAAAAAAAACAGAAAAGCGAAACCCAGTGTGTGCTTTGCGATTGCCTCCTACAGAAGCTGCAGACGGCTTTCATCAAGTCTGCCTTGAAAACGCATTGATATTCTGCTGAGGCTCTAACCCTGGTACTCCACACACTTTACAAGCTCATGTCTGTAATCTCTGCATTGTGGAGACAACATCTGAGGGGAAAACAACTTTGAGCGTGTTGTGTCCCAGAAAGCACAGCGGAGCCATGGATTGTTCTTTTCCTTAAAAAAAAAAACCCCTCAAACAGCAAAAAATAAAAACAAAAAAAAACCCCCGCAAATATATATATATATATATTTATATATATACTAATGCACAAGTAAAAAGGGAAAAATAAATGTTGCATTATTTAGTAGGCTATTGTCTATAATGTCCAAGTTTGTTGTAGGTTGTAGCACAACAACAATGTAAAAGTTTATATTTCCTTCCAGGAAACTCCAAAAAAAAAATCCTAATCAAAAGTCTTTCCCTTAGACATAAATACAACCCTAGGGCTTAAATACTGTTCCTCTAACAATACATTTTAACACCACGTTTGCCTAGAAAACCATCTCAAAATAACAACTGATATACTGAGATAGATATATATAGATATACATATACAGTATGTATACATATATACCTATATATGTATATTTTACACACATATATGTACACATAAATACATAAATATACATATAAATATTTACACATATATGTATACATATATACATATATATGTACATACATGCACACACATATGTGCACAAAATACATAAATACACATATACATATAAATATATATACATGTACATATATATGTATGCATATATATGGGGACTTCAAGTGGTAAGAGCTGTAGCTTTTAAAACAATATTGTAATACATATATCTGTTGCTTGTTTTAATCAATTACAGTTTAGATACCTGTTCTTAAAGTAAGGATTCTTTAACAACATTTTCACAATGCAGCTTTTATACCTCATTAAATTGTCTACCTTATCTTTCAGTACCGGGGACCAGGTTGTATTTAAATTGGAGCCCTTCCTTCCCCCCTCCCCTTGATGAGCTTAGCAACTACAATAATGCGGTCGCTCCTATTCACCTATAGATAATGAGCAAAAAACTTCGGATCATTTGAAACTTAGCAGTCAGGAACCCCTCCAGAGGAGATCTCATTAAATCCTGAAATGGCGTGGAGGCTAACCCTCACCTCCAACACTGCGCCTTAAGAAGAATGTCATCCTGTTTCCAGAAACATGTTACGTCTCCAAGTGTTTTACTGTAAGCTGTTTCTCCAATTTAAAAAGATGTGTGAAAAATGTATTCATTTCAGCTGTGGAGGGATGCGAGTGCCTTTCCCTGGCAGCGTGTTAGCAGCGCTGCTTCATTTCGCAATGATGAAAGGTATTCTATCAATACATATGTATATATATTTTTTATTTATATATATATATATTATATATATATAATGTATGTATATATACATATATACATATACATACATATATACAGTATATATGCATACAATTTATATATGCATATGCACTACATTTAAATATATGTATATATATTTATATATGTATATATATATATTTATATATATATTTAAACATATATATATATTTGAAATAAATATTGCAGTAAAATGACCACACATTAAGCTTACAGTATGTTAAGCCTGCTAAAACGAACCAATGGGAAAACCTTTCATCTCACCTCATTCCCTTTGGTCTGTTGAACACATGCTGCAGTGCTCGCCTTACCCTCAGAAAGGTCAAGTGCAAAACAGGTCTCATTGCACAACATCACCTAATTAAGCAGCAGTGGTAAAAGATGCCG